TTCACTAGGGTGCTTGCTTTAAAAAAATATATGTTTGGGGGGGTTTAAATTAATTTCCTAGCAAAAAATACAGATTTTTTTCATGTGAACAAAAAGTGTCAGAAAAGGCTTGGTCTTCAGGTGGTTAGAAGACTGAGTGATGTGTGGCATAATTTTCTAATGCTGGGCATAGAATGCTCCCACCCCCCAAAACAACCCCTTTTTGGAAAGTAGACACCCCGAACTATTTGCTGAGAGGCTTGTTGAATGAATAGAATTATTTATTTTTTTACCACAGGTTTTTGGAAAATACTCACAATGCTTCTTATCAAATTCCTTGGGGTGTCTACTTTCCAAAAAGGGGTCATTTGGAGGGTTTGGTGCTATCCTGGCATTTCAGGGCCTCCGAAACTGTGATAGGTAGCGAGGAAGTGAAATGAGGAAGTTACGCATCTTCAAGCTTTCAAAGTGGTCATTGGATTTCAGGGCTCCTGTATGTGGCTAGGCTTCCAAAAAGTCTCACACATGTGGTATCCCCATACTTGGTAGAAGTATCAGAATGTATTTTTGGGGTGTAATTCCACATATACCCATAGCTTGTGTGAGAAATATATCATTTAAATGACAACTTTGTGTAAAATAAAATAAAAATATTTTTGTCATTTTCCAGAAACTTGTGGAAAAAAATAAATCTTCCATGGACTTAATATGCCTCTCAGCATATAGCTTAGGGTGTCTACTTTCTGAAAAGGGGTAATTTGGGGGTGTTTGTACTATCCTGGTATTTTAGCACCTCAAGAAAGTAAAAGCTGTGTAAATTCCATTATCTATACCATAGTTTGTAGACGCTTTAACTTTCACACAAAGCAATCAATATACACTTATTGGGATTTTTTTTACCAAAAACATGTAGCAGAATACATTTTGGCCTAAATTTATGACGAAATGTTAGTTTTTTTTGGATATTTTTTATGACAGAAATTAAAACAATTTTCAAAACTTTTTTTGTTTATAGTGCCAAAAATAAAAAAGCGCACAGGTGATCAAATACCACCAAAAGAAAGCTCTATTTGTGTGAAAAAAAGGACATAAATTTCATTTATGTACCATATTGCATGACCACGCAATTGTCAGTTAAAACTAGTGCAGCGCTGTATAGCAAAAAAAAAAATGACGTAAATTGCAGTATCTATACCATAGTTTGTAGACGCTATAACTTTCACACAAAGCAATCAATATACACTTATTTGGAATTTTTTTACCAAAAACATGTAGCAGAATACATTTTGGCTTACATTTATAACTAACTTTGAGTTTATTATATTATATTTTTTTATAGCCGAAAGTAAAAAATATAGTTTTTCTTCAAACTTTTCGTTCTTTTTTTGTTTATAGCGTGAAAAATAAAAAGCGCACAGGTGATTAAATACCATCGAAAGAAAGCTGTATTTGTGTGAAAAAAAGGACGTAAATTTCATTTGGGTGCAGCATTGTATGACCGCGCAATTATCAGTTGAATTAGTGCAGTGACGAGTAGCAAAAAGAGGCCTGGTCATTAAGGGGGGAAAATCCTCTGGAGGGCAAGTGGTTAAGGCAACATTTAAACAACATGACTCCTCGGCTAGAGCTCTGGGTGCTCATGTGTACCTTAGCAGTTTGTAAACAATATAAATGACTCTGAAGATTTCTGGGACATAGGACTTTCTGGAATTTACAATGGTTTGGGATACAGTATATGATGTTCTGTGATATATGACGTATTGGGATACATGACATTCAGGTAAAAGTGATGTACTGGGATATATAATGTACTGGGATATATGAGGTTCTAGGATATGCAATGTTTTGGGATATATGACATTCTGGGATATACAGTATAATATGCTATTCTGTCTCTCAGTGCTCCAATACACCTACCATTCGATTTTTAGACTGATCATTTCTAAGTGAGTGGGCAAACATTCCAAATCAACAGGGGATCAAATACTTATTTCCTTCACTATATATGATGTTCTGAGATATATAACGTTCTAGGAAATACAATATTCTTAGATACTGTATATGACGTTTTGGGCAATGTTCTGGGATATATGAAGTTATGGGATATACAGTGTTCTGGGTTATATGATGTTCTAGAATATAAGACATTCTGAGATATACCGTGTTCTGTGATTTATGAAGTTTTTGGATATATGACATTCTGAGATGTATTATGTTCTGGGATAAATAATGCTCTGGGATATACTGTACATTGTTCTGGGTTATATGATGTTCTGGGATATACAATGTTCTGGGATATAATACATTCTGAGATATACTGTGTTCTGTGATTTATGAAGTTCTTGGATGTATGACATTCTGAGATGTATTAAGTTCTGGGATAAATATTGCTCTGGGATATACAATGTTCTGGGTTATGTGATGTTCTGGGATATACAATATTATAGGTTATATGATGTTCTGAAATATTTGACATTCTGGGATATATGACATTCATGGATTTACCATTTTCTGGGATATATGATGTTCTCGGATATACAATGTTCTGGGTTATATGACATTCTACAATATATGACATTCTGGGATGTAGGATGTTCTGGGTTATACAATGTTCTGGGTTATATGATATTCTACAATATATGACATTCTCGGATGTATGATGTTCTGGGTTATACAATGTTCTGGGATATCTGATGTTCTAGGATATATGACATTCTGGAATATACAAAGTTTTAAGATATAAGTTATGTGACGTTCTGCTATAGACAATGTTCTGTGATATATGATGTTCTGTGATATGACATTCTGGGATATACAATATGATGTTCTAAGATACATAATGTTCTGGGATATATAATGTTCTTGGATATACAACATTCTAGGATATACAATGTTCTGGGATATATGATATTCTGAGATATACAATGGTTTTGGATATAAATTATGTGATGTTCCGAGATATACAGTATTCTGGGATATATAATGTTCTGGGATATGTGCAATTCTGAGATATACTGTGTTCTGGGTTATTTGATGTTCTGGGGTATATGATATTCCTGGATATACAATGTTCTGGGTTAGATGAAGTTCTGGGATATACAATGTTCTAGGATATACAATGTTCTAGGATATAAGTTATGTGACGTTCTGTGATATACAATGTTCTGGGATATATGACATGCTGGAATAAACAGTGTTCTGGGATATATGAAGTTCTGTGATATGACATTCTGGGATATACAGTATGATGTATAATGTAAGATATAGTAAGATATATAATGTTCTGGGATATATGACGTTCCGGGATATACAATGTTCTGGGATATAGGACATTCTGGGATATACAATGTTCTGGGATATATGCTGTTCTAGACTATTCAATATTCTGGGATATATGGCGTTCCGGGATATACAATGTTCTGGGATATAGGACATTCTGGGATATACAGTACAATGTTCTGGGATATATGATGTTCTAGGCCATTCAGTATTCTGGGATATATGACGTTCTGGGATATACAATGTTCTGGGATATATGAAGTTCTGGGATATATGACGTTCTAGGATATACAATGATCGAGGATATATGATGTTCTAGGATATACAATGTTCGAGGATATATGATGTTCTAGGATATACAATGTTCTGGCATATATAATGTTCTAGGATATACAATGTTCTGGGATATATGATATTCTGGAATATACAATGTTCTGGGATATATGATGTTCTGCGATATACAATGTTCTGGGATATATGAGGTTTTAGGATATACAATGTTCTGGGATATATGAGGTTCTAGGATATATGATGTTCTGGGATATATGACGTTCTGGGATATACAATGTTCTGGGATATATGACATTCTAGGATATTCAATGTTCTGGGATATGCAATGTTCTGTGATATATGATGTTCTGGAATATACAATGTTCTTGGATATATGAAGTTCTGGGATATATGACGTTCTAGGATATAAAATGTTCTGGGATATATGATGTTCTGGGATATATGACATTCTGGGATATACAATGTTCTGGGATATATGACATTCTAAGATATTCAATGTTCTGGGATATACAATGTTCTGGGATATATGACAATCTGGGATATACAATGTTCTGGGATATATGACGTTTCAGGATATACAATGTTCTGGAATATATGACATTCTAGGATATACAATGTTCTGGGATATATAATTTTCTATGAAATACAATGTTCTGGGATATATGATGTTCTAGGATATACAATGTTCTGGGATATATGATGTTCCAGGACATACAATGTTCAGGGATATATGTCGTTCTGAGATATATGGCATTCTGGGATATATGACATTCCAGGATATTCAATGTTCTGGGATATATGACGTTCTAGGATATACAATGTTCTGGGATTTATGTAGCTCCAGGATATACAATGTTCTGGGACATATGATGTTCTAGGATACACAATGTTCTGGGATATATAACATTCCAGGATATACAATATTCTGGTATATATGATGTTCTAAGATATACAATGTTCATGGATATAAGACATTCTGGAATATACAATGTTCTAGGACAGTGGTTCTCAACCTTTCTAACGCCGCGACCCCTTAATACAGTTCCTCATGTTGTGGTGACCCCCAACCATAAAATTATTTTCGTTGCTACTTCAGAACTGTAATTTTGCAGTGGGAGGAATAGTGCCCCATCATTGGTATCAGTGGGAGGACTAGCGCCCCATCATTGGTATCAGTGGGAGGAATAGTGTCCCATCGTTGGTATCAGTGGGAGGAATAGTGCCCCATCATTGGTGTCAGTGGGAGGAATAGTGTCCCATCGTTGGTATCAGTGGGAGGAATAGTGTCCCGCCATTGGTGTCAGTGGGAGGAATAGTGCCCCATCATTGGTATCAGTGGGAGGAATAGTGCCCCATCATTGGTATCAGTGGGAGGACTAGCGCCCCATCACTGATGTCAGTGGGAGGAATAGTGTCCCATCGTTGGTATCAGTGGGAGGAATAGTGCCCCATCGTTGGTGTCAGTGGGAGGAATAGTGCCCCATCATTGGTGTCGGTGGGAGGAATAGTGCCCCATCATTGGTGTCAGTGGGGGGAATAGTGCTCCATCATTGGTGTCAGTGGGAGGAATAGTGTCCCATCATTGGTGTCAGTGGGAGGAATAGTGCCCCATCATTGGTGTCAGTGGGAGGAATAGTGTCCCATCATTGGTGTCAGTGGGAGGAATAGTGTCCCATCATTGGTGTCAGTGGGAGGAATAGTGCCCCATCATTGGTGTCAGTGGGAGGAATAGTGCCCCATCATTGGTGTCAGTGGGAGGAATAGTGCCCCATCATTGGTGTCAGTGGGAGGAATAGTGCCCCATCATTGTGTCAGTGGGAGGAATAGTGCCCATCATTGGTGTCAGTGGGAGGAATAGTGCCCCATCATTGGTGTCAGTGGGAGGAATAGTGCCCCATCATTGGTATCAGTGGGAGGAATAGTGCCTCATCATTGGTATCAGTGGGAGGAATAGTGCCCCATCATTGGTATCAGTGGGAGGAATAGTGCCCCATCATTGGTGTCAGTGGGAGGAATAGTGCCCCATCGTTTGTGTCAGTGGGGGGAGGAATAGTGCCTATCATTTGTGTCAGTGGGGGGAGGAATAGTGCCCCATCGTTGGTGTCAGTGGGGGGAGGAATAGTGCCCCATCGTTGGTGTCAGTGGGGGGAGGAATAGTGCCCCATCGTTGGTGTCAGTGGGGGGAGGAATAGTGCCCCATCGTTGGTGTCAGTGGGGGGAGGAATAGTGCCCCATCGTTGGTGTCAGTGGGGGGAGGAATAGTGCCCCATCGTTGGTGTCAGTGGGGGGAGGAATAGTGCCCCATCGTTGGTGTCAGTGGGGGGAGGAATAGTGCCCCATCGTTGGTGTCAGTGGGGGGAGGAATAGTGCCCCATCGTTGGTGTCAGTGGGGGGAGGAATAGTGCCCCATCGTTGGTATTAGTGACACAAATGATGGGGCACTATTCCTCCCACTGACACCAATGATACTTACCTTGCTGACCCCTGCTCCAGCCTGGGCTCGCTCTCTCCCTCTCCCATCTACAGCCTGCAGAAGCAAAATTTGCACTTACCTGTCAGCTGTCTTCCTTCTCTGGCCTCTCTCCTCTTCACTCGGTCCTGCAGCTCCCTCGATCTTCTTCGATCTGCGCGCTCTGCCGCTCGGCTCCTCCTCTCCAAGCTCCACCTCCTCGCCGGTGATTGGCCGCCTGTGTGCCTCTCCTGAGCTACAGTTCCGGTGGCCAATCAGCGGCGAGGAGGCGGAGCTGTTGAGTGATCCCGGAGGTGTGGCCAGGTTACAGGGGCAGCATATCATCCCGCCCACAGATCGCGAGACAGAGCAGCGGTGTCTCGGTTCCTAAGACCATCGGAAATATGTTTTCCGATGGTCTTAGGCGACCCCTGGGAAATGGTCGTTCGACCCCCAAAGGGGTCGCGACCCCCAGGTTGAGAACCGCTGTTCTAGGATATATGACATTCTAAGATATACAATGTTCTTGGATATAAGACATTCTGGAATATATACAATGTTCTTGGATAGATGACATTCCAGGATATTTAATGTTCTGGGATATATGACGTTCTAGGATTTACAATGTTCTGGGACATATGACGTTCTAGGATATGCAATGTTCTGGGATATATGAAATTCCAGGATATACAATGTTCAGGGATATATGACGTTCTAAGATATACAATGTTGTTGGATAGAAGACATTTTGGAATATACAATGTTCTTGGATATATGACGTTCTAGGATATACAATGTTCTTGGATATATGACGTTCTAGGATATACAATGTTCTTGGATATATGACATTGTAGGATATACAATGTTCTTGGATATATGACATTGTAGGATATACAATGTTCTTGGATATATGATCTTCTAGGACATACAATGTTTTTGGATATTGTAGATGTGTCAACAAAAATGTTAGCATGTGCCAGAGAATTCTGTAGGTCTTTAGCTGACACTCTGGGATTCTTCTTTACCTCATGCAGCATTCTGCGCTGTGCTCTTGCAGTCATTTTTACAGGACGACCATGCCTAGGGAGAGGAGCAACAGTGCTAAACTTTCTCCATTTGTAGACAGTCTGTCTTACCGTGGACACATGAACATCAAGGCTTTTGGAGATACTTTTGTAACCCTTTCCAGCTTCATGCAAGTCAACAATTCTTGACCGTAGGTCTTCTGAGAGCTCTTTTCTGCGAGACATGGTTCAGATCAGACAGTGCTTCTTGAAACCAGTAAACCCAAAACAGGTGTGTGTTTTTTAAGGGCAGGACAGCTATCAGCAACACATCCAATATCATCACACTGATTGGAGTCAAGGTTGGCTCACTCCTGGCTCCAATTAGCTCTGGGAGAAGTCATTAAGCTAGGGCCTCACATACTTTTTCCTATCTGCACTGTGAATGTTTACATGTTATGTGCAATTAAACCATGGCAACATCTAATGTTTGTGTAGTATTATGTTAAGCAGACTGTGTTCTTCTATTGCTGTGACTTAGATGACGTTCAGAGCACATTTTATGCCCAATTCATGCAAAACTCCACGTAATCCCAAGGGGTTCACATACTTTTTCTTGCAACTGTACAATGTTCTTGGATATATGACATTGTAGGATATACAATGTTCTTGGATATATGACATTGTAGGATATACAATGTTCTTGGATATATGATCTTCTAGGACATACAATGTTTTTGGATATATGACGTTCCAGGATATACAATGTTCTGGGATACATGACGTTGAAATCTGAGGAGTGGGAGTGCAGTTCAGCTACGTCCTCTCGCCTAGGTAAGAAATGCTGAGTTGAGAAGAAACAAAAAAATCCATTTACATAATACAGAAAAAATTGTATTTATTTTAGTAAACTTGTACAACCCAATTCCAAAAAAAGTTGGTCCGCTGTATAAAATCCACAGAAAGACGGAATGTGATGATTTACATTTCATAAGCCCAGAGTTTATTCACAATAGAAAGAGAAAACTTATCAGATGTTTAAACTGAGAAAATGGACCATTTAAAGGAACAAATTGAACCAGATGGCAGAAAGATTTGAAATGTTCCTATGGTGCAGAAACTCTGGGTTTGCACATCATGGCGTTGTGTTCTTCTGGAGATTTCACACAGCGTCCCAACATTTTTGGAATTGGGATAGTAGAAGGGAAGTTAATGGAGAGAAGTGAGCGGAGCACACTGAGAGGGAAGGGACTTTGTAGTCCACATTTCCATAGACATGGCAGCCAATCAGAGTCCTATCTCCTGCAGTTGCCTGTGCAGAGTTCTCCCAGTGAGGAGACCCTCCACCTACCCCCAGCCCTCGCTCTGTGAGGGAACATCGCCCTCCCCTCCCCCTCTGTTTCTTTTAAGACGGGCCCCTGGGCGGACGTTCGCCGCCTGCTCGAGGTTGTGCTTTGCAGACGGTCCCTGGTCGGGGTGTGTTGTGTATTGGCAGTGGGGCGGCTCCGACTCCCTGACGCCAGTGAGACCAGATCAATCCAGGTTGCCGTGGAGGAGGAGGGAGCCTCTCATCCCGGGCTGCTGCTGAAGGCATGCGAGCGGCTTCCCTGCATCGCTGCACACACCGACCCGCCGCCGCTTGGTGACTGGCCGCCAGCCGGGCAGCAGGTAAAAGAGCGGGGAAGGCAGTGGGAAGATGAGGGGGTCCGGACCGGAGATAGGATTCCTGTGTACTTCGGCCTCCGCTCCGTCACTTTACAAAGTAGTTTAGCTGGGCGGAGTGCGGCTCTCCACAGAAGAAGGGCCGGCCTGGCTGAGACTTGTAGTGACGGCAGGGCCTCTGCCAGGAGTCCGCCTCCACTCCTTGTGTCCCAGCTCTTCCATGGGGCCCGGGCAGGGGAGCTGAGTGGCTGGGTAACTCCACAGCGCTCCCCCGTATCCCGGCAATGAGTCAGTCCGGGATAGTGCGAACTTGTGCTGTGGGATCCTGGAAAGAAGAAGAAAGGGGGGGGGGAGGTGGGGGCAGAGTGATGGCGCCTGCACCGCACAGAACAAGCCCTTGTGTGTGTGAGGAGTCAGTCAGCCTCCCTCTCTCCTCTCCCTGTGGAAGGCCCGGACATTCCCAGCACACGGCTGTCCGCTCTGCCCGCCACCCTCACACCTCTCCCGGCTGACCTTCCTCACTTCTCCGCCATACTAACTCCTCTCACCACAACTTTCTAGTGAAGGCAAAGTATATCAACCCCCCCCCCCCCAACACAGACATGGCAGCGTAGCCCTCCGCCTGCATTCGGTTCCTAATTCAGGCAGTAATAAAATGCTTTGCTAGTGCCATTGTGCTATTCTAACAGCAAACCTTGATTCTATTGCAGCTTACCAGTTCTTGGATGTGTTGGCTGCCTTAGTTTTCTTTTTTAGCCTTTCTTCTGCTTTCATATGGCAAAGCAGCCAATAAATCTGTTTTTCAAAAGAACAAGCTCTCCTATAGATGTAAAGTTAAAGTAGAGTTCCAGTGAAAATAAAAACAAAAAAAAAAAAATTGGTAGCTACAAAAACCGTAGCTGTTGACTTTAAAAAAATGGCCACTTACCTGTCCCGCAATCCCGCAGAGTCCTCCATGCAGCCCGTTTCACCCTCTGCCCAGTGTTCCCGGCGCTGGCATCTTCAGTGTGGGCACCTGACTATGACAACTTGCAGTTTCAGAGTCGGGGGCGCGAGCAGCGCTGCTCTTCTGGGACCTGTCACGCGTCCCAGAAGACTATGGGGGGTGAGGGACAACTTCCGCTTCTGATCGCCTAGGCGATTGCAGAGGAAGTGGGAGCTGGTACCTGTCAGTTTCAAGTACCTGCGCTCCCCAAAGGTGCCAATCCTTAATGGGGAGGGGGACCAGTCCTTAAAGCAGAACTTCCTGTTTTGGGTGGAGCTCCACTTTAAGCTTTCCTTTAGAAGTTAGAGGGTTGAGACAAACCATTTTCCACTGACGGGTGCTTTCAATGGCCAGCTTTTTTTCATGCAAAACCTTTATCCCAAAAGAAAAAAGTATCTGTAACTGCCTATAAAGTCTTAGCTGGAGTATGGCTTCAGTTGGTGGATTTAAATCATCTTTGGCTTCCACTTGCCCAACAATAGAAGTTCCAAATATTAACCGCTTCCCACCGGCTGTACGCATATATGCAACCTCTTGGAAGGTGGGCCTTAATGCCGATTGGCCACATATATGCGGCACTGTGTAAACCACTTACCATGCTGGGATTGGTAAGCTCCCGATGCATACTTGTGATTGGGAGCTTTCCGATCATGTGACAGGCAATCACAGCGGTCACATGACCCATATTTCCACCTCCTGGCTTTTAGATTTCTTTAAGGGCCTGGGAAGGGGTTAATAACACAACTCTATCCACAAATCTTTCCCCGGCTACATCACTAACCTAGTCTCATAATATGCCCCAAACCGTGTTCTCTGCTCCTCCTACTCTCTAGATCCCTCATCGCCTCCTCTCATGCACTCCTCCAGAACTTCTCGCAAGCCTCTCCCGTCCTCTGGAACTCCTCATCCCAAGTTGTCTGTGTCCAACTTTGACCTCTCTTAGGCGATCCCTGAAAACCCAGCTCTTTGGAGAAGACTCTCTTGTTTTTAACTAATGAACTTTTTTTTATTTTATAAACCTTTTTTTTTTTATATATATATTTTCTCTATCGGCTCATCCCGCACAGTTATTACATTTTGTATCACTTGAACCTGCCTCTTAGGCTGGCCATACATTATACAATTTTCTTTGGAAGATTGCTTTAGACTTACCAAAAACCATATAACATAAGTTCAAACCTAAACACTTTCAATTGT